GTAACCACTACGCTACCAGAGCTCGGTTTAAAATCAGAAAAGGCATCTGTCATGGTCATGATACTTATTCAATATGTATGCTGAACATACAGTCAGAGAAACTGGATGATATGAAGAAAAGCCTGGTATCAGGATTGGAGGAAAAATCATTAAGAACCCGTAACATGCATATGACACAACCTTGGTTGCTAGAAGAGAAGAAATATGAAACATTTGCTTATGAAGATGAAAAACTGCAGCCTTCAGTATGGATTACAACCCAGTGTAAAGAAAACAAAAAATCCTTACAACTGGGCCAATAAAAAACAACATGTTAAAGGTTTCATTTTAATTGGATCCACAATAAACGCTCATGAAAGCAGCAGTCAAGAAATTAAACCATGTAAATCTGTTTAAAAAGACCTCTTCAAAGTGCTAAAGGGCAAAGATGCTACTTTGAGGACTAAGGTGTACCTGACTAAAGCCATGGTATTTTCAATTGCTTCATATACATTTGAAAGCTGGACAACTAATAAGGAAGACCAGACAAACAAATCTGTCTTGGATGAATACAGTTAAGCTGTTCCTTAGAAGTGAGGTAAGAAGACTTCATTTCATGAGCTCTGTACATGTCATCAGTCCCTAGAAAATGACATCATGCATAGTCAAATAGACAACCATGAAAAAGAGGAAGATTTCAACAAGAAGGACTGGCATAGTGGTTACAACAGTGGGTTCAAACATAGCAATAGTTGTGAAGATGGTGCAGAATTAGGCAGTGTTTTGTTCTGTTGTGTACAAGGTCACTATGAGTTGGTATCAATTTCAAGGTGACCCTATGTAGAGTTTGCAAGGAGTGGCTGGTGAGTTTGAACCACCAACCTGGGAATTAGCAGTCCAGTGCTTATCTGACAATGCCATACCAGACTCTATAGTATACAATACCATTCTTCCCATAAAATCAATGAACAAATTATAATTTCCAATTTTACTAAGCAGTGTTTACTGAATCAATAGTCAAATTATTTAGGCACATAATATAATTAAAAGATATGCACATAACACAAGTTATTTTAATTTTGAGTTGAATATCATGATCTTGTAAACGTACCTAGTGATTGAGGGGGAAATCTAGGCAGATGATTCAAAGAAAGTTACAATAAACTGACTCTTCCTGTGGACTTGTGCTGTCTCTGGTTTCAAGTAAGTTAATATATTTTAATATCGTTGAACTATCAGATACATTAGTAATAAAATGATAATCTAAATCTATTTTCATTGTTTTAAGTTTTCTACTTTAACTAATCCTGTCTAACTGTATTCACTGCCCATTTATACATTTTAATAAGTATAATTTCTAGCTACTTAATTTTTTGAATCCTTGAAAATATAGATATAAACTATTACGTTGCATATGTTTTCTAATAAAAAATACTTGACTTACTGATTTGAAACAACAGATAAAAGCCCAATGACTATGTAATAAACTATACATATATTGGATAAATTATTACATTTAAAAAATCGTGTCTACACAATTAAAGCCTAAAAGCCAATTAAGTATACCTGACTTACCAAGTAGGTCATTTTGTGGTAACCATTCTATGAGCTTAGTGTTGTTTCCCAGATTCTTTGGTTTGGTTCCAGAAAACCTAAAATATACACAAGACAATAACCTTTAAAAAAAAAAAAAAAAAAAATCCAACCTTATCCCCATGGTACAGACATCTTGATTAAATTATTAGATTGAAAATAAAATACAATCTTTCATTGGTCTTCTTAAGAATGTAATGATACTTTTGTTATTGTTTTTAAGTGCCTTCCAGTTAGTTTTGACTCATAGCAACTCTACATAGCGTTTCCTTGGAGCAGATGGTGGGTTTGAACCACCAAACCTTGCAGTTAGCAGTCCAGTGTTTGTACTACAGCACCACACCAGAACTCCAACTATAGCAGCAAAAATTTGATCATTTAATTTTCAACTTTGATTTACTGAAGTGTGATTATGAAAAGATTTGCTTACATTAAGATCTATTTTCCATCAAACCTCTCACCTTTACATAGAAAAAATGCAGCAAAATAAATCCATACCAGCAAGTCCCTCCTCACTAGAGTCCTGGTGTAACACTGTGGGTTCATGTGCTATACTGCAAGATCAGTTTGAACCTCAAGGTTGGTGGTTCAAGCTCACCAGCTGTTTCTAGGAAACCCTATACAGGGTAGCTATGAGTTGGAAATGAGTTGACGATACTTAACAATAACAACAAAGGTGGCAAGTCCCTCCTCACTAGTACCCAAAGGCTACAATGCATGGAAATGAAGAGGACTGCCAATGGGTAGTCAACAGGTCCTTCTAATCCATGAACATGCAAAACCTAAGAGAAGGCTGTTGTTGTTAACTGCTATGAGTGGATTCTGACTCATAGTGACCCTGTATAGGGCTTCCAAGAAGTGGCTGGAGACGGGGTTTATAATTCTTATATGGCTATAATAAAAACAAAACAAAACAAAAAAACCCACATTACTTAGAGCTTACTTATAATGGAAGGTTCCCTAAGTAGTCCAAACAGTGTGTGCTCCATTACTATATAGAAGCTGGTAGCTCAAAACCACCCACTGGTACAGAAGAAGAAAAGACTGGATGATCTACTTCGACTAAGAGGATTTCTGTTGTTGTTGTGAAGTACCATTGAGTTGGTTCGATTTACAGCAACCCTGTATAAGGTTTCCGAGGAGCAGCTGGTGGGTTTGAAACACCAATCTTGAGGTTCAAACTGACCTTGTTGTCCAGTGTTTTATCCTACAGAGCCACACTGTGAAAAACCCTAAGGAGCTGTTCTAGTCTTTAACACATGAGGTCAACATGAGTCAGAACTAACAACATTTATAATTAACTTGAGCAACACATTTCTCTAATTGTGGTATAAACTATGGGACTGCTGTTGTTCATTGTTATATCCCTGTTGTTGTTGTTGTTAAGTATCATCGAATTGGTTCCGACTCATAGTGACCATGTACAGGGTTTCCAAGGAGCGGCTACCAAGCTTGTACCGAGCTGACCTTGCAGTTCAAACCGACCTTGTTGTGAAGTGCATTAACCCACAGCACCACACCAACATCCCTAGAGCCCAGCGATGGTGACAAAAACTAAAGAGACACATATTAAATATAGTGATTAAGCCCAATTATCAAACATTGTGTTGGTAATTCCTGAGACAGGCACACCTCCTTCTCCCAAAGGAAATTGGTGTCAATCTATGGGTATGTTTTAACTAGTTGGCTGGTGAGTTATTGTGTTTTTAATGAGTTGGTCTCTTAAATAAAAGAACTCAACAGTATCTGTAAATGAGACAAAGTTAGAACCCAAAATGGCTCATGAGTTTATCTAATTACTTGAAGCCATATACTGAAATGCACACAAATGCAATAAAATTTAAAAAAAAAAAAAACAGATGGATAAGTGGGGATAGAAATTCATTGGAAAAATAAAAATGTATCTCACACAAGGATAAATTGTTCTGAGTCACATCTTCTTTCTATACTTTATCCAACATTTTGTTGTTGTTAACTACCAGTGAGTCAGTTCTGACTCACAGCGATGCTGAATAAGTTTTCCAAGAAGCAACTGCTGAGTTTGAACCGCTGACCTTATGGTTCAAACTGACCTTGTGGTCCAGTGCTTTATCCCACAGTGCCATACCAGGACTCACTCCTTAGACTCATAAATTTATCTCTAGCTTCCTACACACTAAGAAACAAAATGAAAAGCCAGGGAATCAATGTGCAGTGCTTTATTGAGACCTGCGGGATAAACAAAGGGGTACTGAAAATGAACAGTAAAGGAATGTTCTCTCTTATTACCTTACCTCCAAATCACTTTTTGAGGCAATCTCCCCAAAGCTCCTGCCAGTTTGTTTGCAATATCTTCTGACAAATATTTGACACCAGCTCCAAAAGACACCAGGACAAAGCCATGTTCATTAGCACCATCTACCCACCTTTGCAGATCCTGTCAATTAAAACACGATAGTTAATTTTAATTTTATGAAAGGCCAGTATCACATAATCAGTATCAGCATAATCCAATTTAAAACAAAAACAAAAACAAAATTCAGGCTTCAGGTAATTATATTAAAGAATAAAAATTAAGAAGAGAGTATGATAGTTTAACTTTAAAACACTTTTGTTGTAAATTTTTTTTAACTATTTCATCTGGCAAAGTCAACTGAGGGAAGATAGCTATTTGAGGAAGATCAGTAAGCAACAATAATAAAAAAATTCAGTAACTAATAATCTAAGATATTAGAAGTCAAAAACTTGAAACTGATGGTGGATACATCATGAGTTTATCAGAGATATTTATCAGAGATAAAGTTATCAGGGCTAAATATCAGAGATAAATTTGTATAAGGATACAATCCATGTATGACTGAGCAAAATAAGAAACTTATACCCCAAGGAAAATGCTTATATTAGGAGCAAAGCTATCAATTTGAGGACTAAGGTGCTCCTCACTCAAGTCATAGTATTTTCAATTATTCCAAAGGTATGTGAAAGTTGGACAATGAAAAAGGAAGACAGTACAAGAATGGGTTAATCAGTGATTCTAACAATTAATGACAGACTGCTAACCACAAATTTGGCATTCTGAGTTATGAAGCATCTTTGAAGAAAGGTCTGACAATCCACTTCAGAAAAATCAGTCATTAAACTATGAAGCACAGTTCTACTCTGGCACAGGAGATCAGTCGGCTCAATAGCAACTAGCATGTTTTTTGGTGTTTTTTTAATTGAATAAGCTTAATAATTTTCATCTCTGAAGAGTCATACTCTATTACAAGTATATGACTGAGAAAGAGAAGAAATTATCAAACACTTGCAAAGATCCATAGGTCTATTGAATTTTATTGTTTCTCCAAATATTTCTCAAATGCATATATGCCCAGGAGTTCTGAAGACCTTTCAGAGGTTAGTCTCCCTCACTTTGTGGAAACACACTACACTTTCAGATGTGTCTTGATAAAGCCAATATATACTATACCACAACAGATCTGATTTTAAGTACGGACAACTCTAAAATTCTGAAATTACTTATTTTGTAGAATGACACATTAACAACCTTTTTTTTTCCCCCCATGTTTTATTGTGAATTATATGATATTTTACATGGGAGAACTTTAGTGTTACATTCATTGTACATCGTTTCATTGCCATGGTTCCAATCCCTTCCATGCATCATCAATCGATCAAAGGGTATACCCTATAAACCCACCCTCTACACTCCCCCGCCCCCCCCAATTCTTCAGCACACAGTCCCTCTCCCTCTCTGGATCCAAAGTCCCCAGCTGCTTCATAACTTCACGTCATCGTCTCTGCCTCCATCTCGGGCCTCGCTGCTTCTCTGGGTAGGGTCCTGCTTTCGGCTCTTTTCCGTTGATGGTCCTAGAGACCTCTGCTCCTAGACTGGAGAGTTAATCACTCCTGTCCTTGCTACAAAACATCTACCTTTACATTTCCAACCCTCACAATCAGTCCTGATAATAATAATGTATCACAAGTGACCCTTCTGCATTTCATTTCATCAGGTCCGTCTAGACAGATTGGATAGTACTCACTGGAGATTCTGAACAACCTTTTTTTTTTAAAAAAAAGCAACAAGATTCATTTGTATTGAAAGTAAAAGCAGTTCATTTTAAATGGCACTATAGAGCTCTGGTAGCGTAGTGGTTATGAATCGGAATGCGAACCGCAATGTCAGCAGTTCAAAACTACCAGTGGTTCCATGGGAGAAAGATGAGGCTTTCTGCTCCCATAAAGATTTATAGCCTCAGAAACCCTGTACAGGGTCGCTATGAGTCGGAACCAACTCCACGGTACTTAACAACAACAACCCTTGCTTTACTTTATTCTATAAATACAAACTTATTTTCATGGGGAGTAAGTCATTCCTTTGAATAAGTCTGTGCCTAAATGATCCAGCTTAAGTTTCCCATATGAAAACACATAATTCCATGAAACAGGATGTCACAGTTACAGGTCACACACCCTGCATGCAAATCTCTCCTTTAGGATTAATGAGTTACCATCATGACCTGTGATCTTTGCATTTCTCACTGCTTTTTCAGAATAACCTGCTTTGTAGCTTGGGAGTACTACTCAATAAATGTCATCACAATGGTGTCTCCATGTAGCTCAATATGAAGTATTTAAAGCTTCTTGTTGTTGTTAAGTACCGTGGAGTCGAACTGCTGACCTTAAGGCAGCCCGACTCGTAACCACTATGCTACCTCTCTTTTTTTTTGCTTTCAGACATACATTTATTTTTTAAATTCTTATAATATACCTACAAATATCCACATTTTACAGATTAGGAAATTAAGGCTGCGAGGTATCTTGCATAAATGAGGTTCTGGTATGAAAAAGAAGCACCACGTCCAAATTATTGCTTCTTTTAAGGAAACATGATGCCCTCATTGTGGCATATCAAAGAAAGAAACAGGAGGAAGGACCAAGGTACAGGAGGGCAGAAAAGACAAA